CTAGGATACAAAATGTAATCTGTTGAAGATTTTAGGTGCACTACCCAAAACCATTTCCAACACATGGAGTCCATCCAGTTTTGGGCTGGGTGCCGAATTCTTTCTGGCGAGGAAACAATAAAAGTTAATGATCACACACTTGACATATTGCAGCTGAGAAAAAATATCAACAGTATCTTTTTATCAACCCAAATTTCATAGTCTTAGAGCCATACTGTTTTACGTTTAAGGGATTTTACTCATATTTAATTCATGCTTGCATTTAAGGTTATGGATAGGAATTCTGGGCCCCCTACTTGTAAACTGCTTTGGGCCCCTTACCTTTTTAAATGTAAAATTCAGAAACTGTTGTGAGTCCCCCTGGACCTGTGGACCCCTAGAATCATTCCCACCTTTCACCTCTCGAGTTTGAACTGATATAAACTGCTTTAATCCCTCAAAAATAAAAAGCTTTTGACTTTTTGACATATTTGAAAATCATCTTTTCAAATGAAGGTTTACATAAACTATGTAGAGTAGGTTTCCCAGACACAGGTTAAGTACTGGACATATTCAAACAAACTTACAAGCGATGTTTGACGTCTGACGTCCTCTCATGTCCACTACGGTCTATGAATCCTGTATGAAAATTTGAAAACATGCTGCTCTCCCATTCAAGAGGGGCTGATGGGATAGACTTTGTATTTGTAGTACTGACACCATTTGTCCAGTTTGCTGCTTCTCTGCAATCCTCTGATGTTGCTGTAACAGATGAAGGTGCTTTTCGAGCTGGACGTCTCCTGTCACTTTCCTAAAGAAAATGATATCCTTGTCAATTCAATGCAATGCTGCAAAGGAGGAATAATGTAGAATAAAATCTTAGTAAATAAATTAAATACATAGCAAACGTTATTAATCCTTAATGCTGTATTTTAATATTTAATGAATAAATTTTAACTTCATTAACAACATTCATCACCTGTGAGGAGCTGGCAATGGGACCTGCCATAATGCCCCGTCTTATCCTGCTGCTTCTGTTCTTCTGGCTGTCAGTGTCTA